ATTATTATATTCATAAAAGATTTTTATATATTTTTAGATTATAAATTTAATTATTTTACTTTTGTAATGTACAATATTTAAAAAAAAATTATTATATACGTGTGCATATATAAAAGAATGCAATGTAGAAAAGAGAAAAGAGACAGATAGATCGATAGATAGATAGATAGATTGATCGATAGATGATAGATAGTTCGATAGATAGACAGATTGCTAAATAAATCAATAGGTATGTGTATATATTATTATATGTATATATATATATATATATATATATATTATTATATATATATATGTATGTGTATGTATGCATATATAGAAAATGTATATAAATAAATAACCTGGGGTAAAGGGAGGAGAGGGGGAAGATAAAAGTATCAGGAATGGGAGAAAAGGAGGAGGGAATAATGATGGCGGATTTAGAAGTAGGAAGAGAGAAGTGGAGGGTAATAGGCGTATACATCAACGGGGACATGGAAAGGAAATTGGAGGAAATGAAGGAATGGATGGAAGAGAAAGAAGAAAATAAATGGACGATTTTGGGAGGAGATTTCAACGCAAGGACAGGTAGAAGGGGGGGAGTGATAGGAGGGGAGGAGGAAAGAAGAAGAAGATCGAAGGACAAGAAAGTTAATGAGGAAGGGAAGAAGTTGATAAAAGAGTTGGAAGAGGTGGGATGGGGAATTTTTAACGGAGGGATAAGAGGGGATAGGAAGGGGGAGTACACATATACAGGAGGAAGAGGGGAATCGGTAATAGATTATGTGGTGGGAGAGGATAGAGTAAAGGAAAGGATAAAGAGAATGGAGGTGGGAGATAACATAGAATCGGACCATCACCCATTGATTGTAACGCTAGAAAGAAGAGGAGGAGCTGAAAAGGGAAAAAGGGGGGAGGAAAAAGGAATAAGAAAAAGAGGGAGATGGACAAAGAGGGGAGGAGAAAGAATAAGAGAGGAAATAGAGTGGGGAGAGGGGTGGAAGGAGGGGATTGAAGAGGAGCTAGAGGAAAAAAAATAGGAAGAATAGAAGAGGAATTGAGAGAAGGAGAAAAAGAGAGTGGAGAAGGGAAAAGGAAAGGGTGGTGGGACGAGGAATGTGAGGAGAAGAGGAAAGAAGTGAGGAAAAGTTAAGGGAATGGAGGAAAAAAGGAGGAGGAGGAGAAGGATATAGAAAAGTAAGGGCGGAATATAGGCTAATGTGTAAAGGAAAAAGGGAGGAGGAGAGGCTAAGATGGTACAAGGAGGCGATAGAGGCAAGAACGGAAGAAGAAGTATGGAAGATTATAAACAGGGAAAGGAAAAAGAGAGAAGGGGTGAATGAGGAGATAAAGGCGGAGGAATGGAAGGAATACTTCATGGACTTATTGGGAGGGATAGAGGTAAAAGTTGTAAGAGGAGGAAAAGAAAAAAGGGAGAGAGATGAGGAGCAGGAGATAAGCAGGGAGGAAGTGAAGAGGATGCTGGGAAAACTGAAGAAAGGAAAAGCAGCGGGGGAGGATGGGATACCGAGTGAGGTATGGAAATATGGAGGGGAGAGGGTAGAAGAGTGGGTATGGGAAATGTGCAACAGAGTACGGAGAGGAGAAGGATGGCCGGAGAGGTGGAAAGAAGGGATAATAGTGCCACTGTTGAAAAAGGGAACGGGGAATAAAGTGGAAAACTATAGAGGAGTGACATTGATGCCAACGCTATACAAGATATACGTGGGGATTTTAACGGAAAGGTTAAAGGAAGAAATGGAGGGGAAGAATATGATACCGGAGAGTCAGACAGGTTTTAGGAAGGGAATGGGGGTGATGGATAGTATCTATGTGTTGAACTATCTGGTGAATAAGAGGGTAAATAAGAAGGGAGGAAAGGTAGTTGCGGCATTTATGGACCTGAAGGCGGCGTTTGACTCGGTAGATAGGGAGGTGTTAATGGAGGCAATGAAAGGGAGGGGAGTGAGGGAAGGATTAAGGAGTAGGATAGAAGAGGTGTACAGGGAAACGAGGAGTAAGGTAAGAGTGGGGAAGGAGGAGGGAGAAAATTTTTGGACGGCAAGGGGGGTGAGGCAAGGTTGCCCAATGAGTCCGCACTTATTCAGTCTGCTGATAGCGGATATAGAGGAAGTGCTAAGAAAAGGAGGTTGGGGGGGGGTGAAACTGGGAGGGGAAAAGGTGCATTGTTTGGCGTACGCAGATGACATGGTACTGTTGGCGGAGGATGAGGAAGGGATGATACATATGTTGGGGAAAATGGAAAGTTATATGGACAAGAAAAGGTTAGAGGTGAATGTGGATAAGACAAAGGTAATGAGGTTTAAAAAGGGAGGAGGAAGAATGAAGAGAGTGGAGTGGAGATGGAAAGGAAAAAGGTTAGAGGAAGTGAAAGAATTCACATATTTAGGGTATAAGCTACAGAGGAACGGGGGGCAGGAGGCGCAGGTAAAGAACAGAGTTAGGAAAGCAGGAGCGGTGATAAGACAGGTGTGGGGAATGGGAAAGAGAAGGTTTGCAGGAGACTGGATGAAAAGAGTATGGCTAATGGAAAGGTTGGTGGGGACGGTGTTGGAATATGGGGCGGAAATATGGGGATGGAAGGAGAGGAGAGAGGTGGAGGCAATGCAGGAGCGATGGATTAGGTGGACATTAGGAGTAGACTGGTGCACGCCGGGGTATATGGTAAGAGAGGAGATAGGAAAAGACAAATTTAGGATAAGGGCAGGAAGGAGGGCGGTAGGGTATGAGAGGAAGTTGGAGGAAGGAAGGGGAGGAAGTTTAGCGAGGAAATGTTTTGAGGATATGAAAGAGAGGATAAGAAGAGGAAAGGAAAGAACGATGTGGGAGGAAGAGAGGGAGAAATTCTGGGAAGAAAGAGGAATAGAAGGGAAAGAGATGGAGGAAAAAAGGGGAAGGGGAGAGGAAGTATATGAGGGGTGGGAACAGAAAGACAGGGAAAGGCAAAAGGAGGAAAGATGGGAGAGGATAAGAGAGTCGAGATATAATAGATGGTATGGGGAATGGAAGGAGGAGGGTTTACCGGAATACCTGAGAAAGGGATGGGGGGAAAGTAGATGGAGAAGGATAGTTAGGTTCAGAATGAACAATGAGATGAGAGGGGCGAGATACTGGGAAGAAGAGGAGAAAAGAAGATGTAGGTTATGCGGGATAGAAGATGAAACATGGGAGCATGTGATAGGAGAATGTGGGGGAGAAGGGGAGAAGGGAAACTGGTGGGAAAGAATGAAGGGAATATTGCAGGAAGGAGGAGAAGGGGAAGGATGGATGAGAGAAATAGAGAAAAAGAGGGAAGAGGGGAGAACGGAAGAAAAGGGGAGGGAGGGGAAAAGGAGGAGGGAAGTATGAGGAGGAGAATGAGTGAGGTATGAATGAGGTGGTGGAGAATATATGGGGAATCGGAAGCCGAAGCGAAGCGATAGGTAGGGACGGCTCTTTCTCTCTCTAAAGTAGTAGATAAGTAGGTTAAGGTAGAATTAAGTTATTTGTAAATTAGATGTAAGAGTAGAGATAAGAGTAGATATAAGTATAATTGTAAGAGTTTGTAAGGTTGGGGAACGCTCCTTCAAAAGCGCCTTCAATCCCTTAGGGGACGAATAAAGAATTGAATTGAATTGAATTGAATAACTTTTATAGTCGCATATTAGCTAGAAAGAAATTCAGAATTTGAATAAGATAAAATTATGGAGATAATTATTTAATTGAAGATCATTTATTTATTCTTTTTCTGAATTTTATTTGTAACATTTTATCAATATATACGAGGTGTGTTCAAAAAGTATCGCGAATTTTGTTTTTTCAAAAATTATTATTTATTCATGAATATCTATTTTGTCCCCTTCAAAGTAATCCCCACCAGATATTATACACTTGTGCCAACGTTTTTTCCAATCCTCGAAGCACTTCAAAAAATCATTTTTTTGATCTTGTTCAGCTCCTCCTTGATGCTGTCTTTATCTCCTCAATCGTAGCGTAGCGTCGTCCTTTCATGGGCCTCTTCAGTTTCGGGAACAAGAAAAAGTCACAGGGGGCCAGATCTGGGGAATACGGTGGCTGCGGCATTATTAGTGTGTTGTTTTTGGCCAAAAATTCGATGCTGTTTTTGGTCGAAATTGAGCAATTTGGTACGAATTTCGCGGCGACCCGTGTCATGCCCAAATCATTGGTAAAAATCGAATGGCACGAGCCAATCGATATGTTTAGGTCTTCAGCAACTTCTCTAACGGTGATTCGACGATTGACCAATACTATTTTCTTCACTTCATCAATGTTTTCGTCTGTTGTTGACGTGCTCGGGCGTCCGGCACGCTCATCGTCGTTCACATCTTCTCGGCCCTCGGAAAACATTTTGTACCACCGATAAACGTTGCTTCGGTCCAAGGTAGCTTCACCATATGCCACAGTCAACATTCGGAATGCGTCCGCGCACTTAATTTTGTTTTTCACACAAAATTTGATACAGATTCTTTGATCCATTTTTGGAATAGGCAAAAATCGAAGACGAGCCAAAACACGTGCAAGCAAAGCAGCTGTCAAAAATTAACTGAACATTCAAAATGGCCGTACTTGTCGGCATAAATGAGAAACATGAGTACCAATATAACGCCACAAAAAAATCGAAAATCGAATATACGTAACCCGCGGAAATTCAAAATTCGCGATACTTTTTGAACACACCTCGTATATATATATATATATATATATATATATATATATTTATTTGCAAATGAGAACGAGAAAGTAAAACATAGTAATATTAAATATTTAATATAAAATACATATAATAATACGTATAATAATGCTAAATATTTAAAATATAATGTTACTTATTGTAAATATTTAAAGTATTTAAAATATGTTATTTATTACTTTAAATATGTAAAATATTTGTATTTTTAAAATCAAATTGTCTCTTCGTAAAGAAAATAATTTTGTTAAAATTTATGGAATAGGATGATATCCTTTTAAGGTTTGCAAAAATGACATTTTTTTGCCGTCAATTAATTGCACATTTTCCACTGACGAAACTGAAAGATATGGAGGTTTATTTTCAGGTACTTGCATTTTCCTATTACTTTAATTGGTGAGCCGTAAGTGAAATTATCTTCAAATTCTCCATTACATGTTATTAAAACAGACAGTTTATAATAACCATCTGTAATCGCTCCAATGTAAAAATGATTATTAGATGATTTTTCAAAAATCATTTTTATATGATGTTCCATTTCTGAAAAGAAAATTAAAATATTTTAGATAATAATTAATTCATATAATTAGGAATTTTAATGAAAACAAATATACAGAATGTTTCAGAATTGATAGTTGAAATAAAAGAAGCATATTCTACTAAAACTTAAATTAAATTCTTTTGATTATGTTAGTAAACACAAAATAATAATAACATAATATATATTAAAATGTCTGTTCCTATAATGTAACTGTTATATAACAGAGCATGTCACGTAACTGTTATCTTATTAAAACGGACTTTTTAATATATATGTTATGTTACAGTTACTTTGTGTTTACTGAGTATATTTAATTATATTTGATAATTGTTGTTATGTTTGATTATTGTTATTATTTGATATCGTTAAATTGTTATATTTGATTATTGTTATTATGTTTGATATTGTTATATTTGATTATTATTATTAAATTTACAATTAAAAATCAAAATTTGATTTTGGATAATCAAAAGTTTTAAATTTAAATATATTGATTAACATATAAGAGAGATTATAATATTAAATTACCTATTATTAAACCACTTTTGGTTCTGGCATTTTGCATTTTAATCAAAGAAATTGTTTCAATTTCTTTTGGTATTTTATAAATGCCAATAGGAACGACAATAGTGAAACTTCGGATTAATAATTCGTATGGAAATGAAGCATTATGTAAATATTCTTTCCTCAAAGGGATTTTAGGTACCACTTTTTGTAGAGAATAAACCTATACAATTTAAGAATTTGTTTTAATTAATATGATAAATAATATTATATAAATATATTAAAATGTAATGTTATATAAATAATAATATATAAAAATCTTATTTTAATACTATATAAATATAAAAATATCTTACTTGTTCTGTTTGAGTTATTATGTCTGCATATTTAAAAGCTAAATCATTCCAGGCAGCAATTTGAATGGTAATTTCACCGTTGCTCATAATAAAATTAAAAAGATGCGTTGTTTTGCCATTTCTTGTGGTTGATTTAATTTGAAATAGTGAACTGACGTAGCCAGTTATTTCACTATAATGAAAGAATTTATTTGATTGAAATAAGGAAATGTTTGATTAAAATTAAAATATCTAATATAATTAAAATTTAAAATTATAAATTATTGCTAAAATTATTCAATATAAAACTATAATTGTAAATAAATATATAATGTGTATATGTATATGTGTTTTGTGCGTATGCGTTTGTATATTTGTGTGTATCTGCATCTATGTATATTTAAATGTATAATGTGTATGTTACATGTGAAAATTTAAGTGTACGTGTATGTGTGTGTGTGTGTGTGTTTTATGTATGCATGTGACTGTGTGCGCGCGAGGTGTGTAAATTTAGTTTTATAGTTTTTATTTTCTTTATAATAACTAATTATTAATATACATAATCATTAAGAATATAACTTACAAAGTCGTATCGTTTTCCATAATGTCCTCCAAAATTTCTTTTTTTGTAAACAAATTGGTATTGTTATTTCTTTTAAAGCCATGTTAAACCTATATTAATGTGTTTATATTATTAAATGCTTTTTAACAATTATTAATTGTTCGTGATTCGAGGATTTTCACTCGAATGTCGTGAACGCGTGCGGCGGGTTCCGCTCCGCGAGAACGCGGGATGAATGTGCGATAAGAGAGACGGCGGTATAGCGTTGAGAAGGAGCGAGAGAGACAGAGTGATAGAACGTTGAGAAGGAAAGAGAGAGACAGAATGATAGTGGACCGCGACCGCGAGACTGAAGATTGAAGACGGGAGCGAGCGAGAGGAACAGAGTTATAAATGCACCATGGTTGAATCAAATTAACAACACTGTCATTTATTCACTTTGTCCGAATTAAATATAATGATGCGAATCGTATCACGGACGCGACACTTAGATAGAGTTCCGCGTTCCCGTTACTAACGATAATCTCTAAAAACTCACCTTTAAAAAAAGGTAAAAAAAGGCGACCAGTTAAGGGACGCCATTAACAAAAATTATCCATTGCAAACCCATGTAGAATCCTATCCTATTGCAAACCCATGTAGAATCCTATGAAAAATTAATCATTGCAAAACCATGTAGAATCCTAGGCAAAATTAACCATTGCAAACCCATGTAGAATCGTACCCATTGCAAACCTATGAAAAATTAACCATTGCAAACTCATGTAGAATCCTATGAAAAAATTAACCATTGCAAACCCATGTAGAATTGTATTAAAAATTATCCATTGCAAACTTATGTAGAATCCTACATTGCAAACCCATGTACAATAGAATTGTATGAAAAATTATCGATTATAAACTTATGTACAATCGTAACAAAAGTAATGAAATAAAAAAAAAATTGCGCCAAGTGAAAGTAGAAACTTGTACCAGTGGAAAATTAAAGTGCAGACATATATAGAGTGTATAATGAATCAGTAAAATTTAAATTTGCAAATGTAGATCGTACCATAAAAAAACTTATCTTAAAAAAAAAAGATAAACAATGCCAAGTCCATGCGCCATGTGAAAAAGAAATAAAAAAATTTTAGTTAAAAAAAACTGGGAGCGCGCTAAATAATATTCTAACAATATTTAAATTAAATTGTTACTTTTTAAACTCATGACAGTTAAAATATGTTTTGTGTTTAAATTAATTAATGTACTTTAAGGTGCATTGTAATTTGAAATTAGCAGCCCAGTTTTTTTAACTAAAATTTTTTTTTTAAAAAGATAAACAAGATGCCAAGTCCATGCCCATGTAAAAAGAAATAAAAAAATTTAGTAAAAAAACTGGCGCCTGTAAATAAAATTGTAACCAATTTTAAAATTAAATTGTTACTTTAAAGTCATTAAGTTAAAATATGTTTTGGTTTAAATTATTAATGTACTTTAAGGTAAAATTGTAATTTTAAAAACTTAACAAGCGCCCAGTTTTTAACGCCATTAAAAAAAAAAAAAAATTTTAGTTAAAAAAACTGGGCGCGCTGCTAAGTTTCAAAATTACAATGCACCTTAAAGTAACATTAATTAATTTAAACACAAAACATATTTTAACTGTAATGAGTTTAAAAGTAACAATTTAATTTTAATATTGTTAGAATATTATTTAGCAGCGCTCCCAGTTTTTTTAACTAAAATTTTTTTATTTTTTTTCACATGGCGCATGGACTTGGCATCTTGTTTATCTTTTTTTTTAAAAGATAAGTTTTTTATGGTACGATTCTACATTTGCAAATTTAAATTTTTACTGATTCATTATACGACTCTATATATGTCTGCAACTTTAATTTTCCACTGGTACAAGTTTCTACTTTCACTTGGCGCAATTTTTTTTTTATTTCATTACTTTTGTTACGATTGTACATGGGTTTATAATCGATAATTTTTCATACAATTCTATTGTACATGGGTTTGCAATGTAGGATTCTACATAAGTTTGCAATGGATAATTTTTAATACAATTCTACATGGGTTTGCAATGGTTAATTTTTCATAGGATTCTACATGAGTTTGCAATGGTTAATTTTTCATAGGTTTGCAATGGGTACGATTCTACATGGGTTTGCAATGGTTAATTTTGCCTAGGATTCTACATGGGTTTGCAATGATTAATTTTTCATAGGATTCTACATGGGTTTGCAATAGGATAGGATTCTACATGGGTTTGCAATGGATAATTTTTGTTAATGGCGTGCCCTTAACTGGTCGCCTTTTTTTACCTTTTTTTAAAGGTGAGTTTTTAGAGATTATATCATTCATTTTTGTATATTTTTATGACCGGAATAGAACAATTATTAAACATGTTTATCTAAACTTCTTTGCTTAAAATGATGTGTACAATCATATCCTAGAATCCTGATCATTCCTCCTAAAGCACCCTATTTATATAAATTTACCCATATGTGTGTGTGTGTGTGTGTGTGTGTGTGTACTAATGTCGAGCATTTTTTATACATTTTCTATTAAATTTAGATAAAAGTTGCAGGATTTCGAAAAAGAAAAAGTTGACACAGACTTTTTCCTAAACGGCGATTTTCAAGGTTATTTAAAGGTCACTTATATTTTCAAAATAGAATTACCTTAATTTTTCTCATATAAATCGATTCCTCGCAATATTTACTATAAAAAGTTGTAAAGGTATAATTTTTACATAATCTTACATAAACTTCGAAATATTACAAATATTTTATTTTATGAAATATTTCAGTTTATGTAAAATTATGTTAACTATCTTTTAAATTATTCACTTTTAGCCATCTTACCCTTACAACCTTTTATAGTGAATATTGCAACAAATTGGTTTATATATATAATATATATATAACATCAGTTATTATTAATTGATGTTTACATTTATTTTTAGACTTACTAGAGCTCAAATGCTCCACATTTTTTGCAAAAACTGTTTATTCTACAGATTTCAAATATGCTTTTAAATGATGATTGAATATTTCCTTTTTTTAATTATTTTTATTATTATTTTTCAATCTCAATCAACTTTTATAACTTTATGCCAGCACGATACAAATACATGTGTCTTTATTTTTTTTATTATTTTCATTATTATTTTTCAATCTCAATCAACTTCTATAACCTTATGCCAGCAGGATACAAATACATGTATGTCTTTATTATTGTATCAACTCTTGTCTTTTCCATGTAACCATGTCTTCATAGTTTGAATTATCCCTTCATCTTCTCAATCTTTCGCAGAGATTTAATTAATTAAATACACTTCACACGAAATAAAGTTTGCTGGAAGATATACAGCAAACGATAACTGTAAAAACATGATTACGTGGAAAGAACAAGAGTTGGTACAGTAAAGGCAAGTAAGTAAGTACATGTAATGTATCGTATTGGCATAACGCTATATCCGCGGAGCAGATAATGTGGCTGTAGAGGTAGTCTGCAGTGCAGCTAATGTGGACGTAGATGTTGATTGAGATAATTGTCTAATATAAAATAGAATTTAAAAATTTAGTTTAAAAAGCTGTTGCATATATAAATAAAGTTTATTTTTTCTAAATTTGGAATATGTTTAATTAATTAATTTTTTAAGTCTATGTTTAATAAATTTTTTAAGTCTGTATTCAATAATTTTATTCATTTGATAAATACATGTATGTCTTTATTTTGATATGTTTAATATAATTAGAAATTCATTATTAATTAGATATGTAAACTATAAATTCATATATAATATTTGAAAATATATGTGAATATTTAAATTTTTATCTTCTCCTTCCTCTCCTTCAATCTCTTTAATATCAATATGTGTATGTGTGTACACGCGCGCACATTTGTACGTATTTATTTAATTATTGGATAGTTGAGAGTACTTAATTGATAAAAAATTATGACAATAATAATCCTTGTTTTTTTTCTTATTATTTACTCAGATTTTTTTGTCTATCTTATAAGATAAACACTTTAGAGATTGAATATTTCAAGTAAACTAATTGTAAGTAAATTTCACATTAATGCATATAGATGTTTAATCATGAATGTACTAAATAAGTACACAAGACGAACAGTGAGTGAGTGAGTGAGAATGAGAGAGAGTGTTGTGTGCGTGTGTGTGTGAGTGAGAGAGAGAGAGAGAGAGAGAGAGAGAGAGAGAGAGAGAGAGAGAGAGTTAGCCAACATAACCCCGCACGCTGCCGATCATGAATGTACTAAATAAGTACACAAGACAACAGTGAGTGAGTGAGTGAGAATGAGAGAGTGTGGTGTGTGCGTGTGTGTGTGAGAAAGAGAGAGAGAGAGAGAGAGAGAGAGAGAGAGAGAGAGAGAGAGAGAGAGAGTTAGCCAACATAACCCCGCACGCTGCCGATATGGCGGAGCGCCACTATCGCCATCTGTTGTAAAACGTGCGAGATGGACAAAATTACCACTACATGCATCTTGCATGTGTTGTGTACGTGTGATATATGTGTGCGCATGTGTTGTATACGTGTGAATACGTGTAGCACGATACTACTATGTATGCGTGGTCGATGATGATAATGATGATGATAATGATGATAATGAT